CCTGTACTATCCCAAGGTCGGGCCTTTAGGCCCTGATGTGTCCCTCCGGCCCTAAGTCGGGTCCGGTAGGACCCGTGTGCGTCGAAGATGTAACAGGCAATGTCTCATTGGAGACAAAGTCACGTCAGTAACAGTGTCTACCAAAGCCTCGCCAATCTGCTTCACGTGTAGAGAAAGAGGCCACCTGGGAACAGATCCCAAATGCCCACGCTCCCCTGAACAAAAAAAACTGAGACAGAATATGCTCGAGGTTGAAGAGGCCAAAGGTATCTGGTCCGTCAATTACCCAGATTACAATGGCTGGGTCTTCGATGACAATATCCCAGAGCCTAAGTCACGAACGCGACCCCGACAATCAAACAGCCAAACATTTTTCCACCATCAGACAGCAAATGGCACCACGTGGGAGCAAAGAAGATAACAGGAATCCCAAGGAAAATATACTCAGACCCGGTGGTGGACTCCCGCGCGATCAGAGAAGAAAAGAAACACGAAGACCTGTTGTGGGACCTTGAGTCAATTAGACAGCAGTCCGCAGACGCCCTGGCCAAGCGAGAAGAGGACAACGACATCCTGGACGCACCCTACAGACCGGCCCCTCCCTCAAGAGATAGGCCTCCCCACACAAGGAGAAAACCGAGACACCGAGCCGGAAAAAAAAAAGAAAGAACAGCTCAACAGAAAAGGGAAACCCCCTTCCTAACACACAGAGCTCACAGGAAAACCCGACGGAATCAGACCCCAGTCCAATAAGAGATCGAGACTGTACCCACAAAGGAATGGACATATCTCCCTCCAAGAGCGACAGGGAAGGCAAATCGAAAGAACAGGGAGATTCCCCCATTGCTTGGCTGCAGGAATATCTGGAAAGAGCCAGAAATGAGAGGGAGAAAGAATTCGACATCAGAGTGGCGTGCATGAAGCATCAGGAGAAGACAGGCCGGAGCAGCAAAGGCCCGGTAGCAGACATCCACACATTCACGAACACCTACGACATCCTGAGAGAACAGAGTGAGTTGTCAGAATTGAGCGTCTTCAGATATCGCGAGAAGAAGAGGGAAAGAGACAACTCGAGCTCTGAGTCCGGATCCAGTGCAGAAACTCAGGCCCACAAGGACCCAATCAGAGACATGGTACCGAAGAAGTGGAAGCCATCAAAGGGTAGGGTCAAGAGATCCAGAAAACTCACGACGGATACAATAGGAAATGGCAACGAGCAGCGATCGCTCAAACAGGAGATCGCCATCGTCGCAGCTCCGACAAAGTGCCTGTTTGATCAGAACATGGAATACCGAAAAAGCCACAGAAAGGAATACTGCACCATCCAAAATGTGGCAGACAACAAGCCCCCCCATGTCACTGAGAAAGCTACCTCAGATCGAAAAACCATCAAGCCAGTCAGACCCCTGGTCCCCATCCGGTACAGAAAGAAGTTCGGGGAGTGGCAGGTAGCCACAGACGTATCCTTCGCCTTCCCGACTTCGGGAGACCACCGGACATTGGCCAGAACAATCAGGAAAAAAAACAACGAAGACTCCCCCCTAGGAGTCTTCGGAATCCCCGCTCCCCTCGGGAAAGACTCAGACGAGATCAACCAGGAACTCGCCACACCCAAATCTTTTGAACCAATCCTTGTAAAACTAGAAGAAAAATCGAGGTTGCACGAAGGGCAGATGTGGAGAGCATGGAACACTGTGACCGCCCTGCCATACAGCACACTTGCAGGCAAGATGTGCCCGACGGAGGTCATGGCTGATTCCCTGGCCGCCATCATCAGATCCCACATCCTCTTCACAGAACACTCCCTATAGGATGAAGCTGAGCCGCTTTACCTGGAACCGAAAGACGAGGATAGGCACATGGGCGAATACGACGACGACGAAGGGTTGAACGACAAGATATCCCCGGGCAGTGACGGGACCGGTACCACCCCAGCAACTGACGGCAACATGGGGGGATACAGCCTGGGATCTGCCACCGGGAGAAGGGCAAATGACGACAGTGGAGAAACCGGAGGAATCAGAGCTAACAACACAAGGACCACGGCAACGGCTGATTAGAGAACCCAATGCCCCCCCCCCCCCCCCCCCCCCCCCCCCCCCCCCCCCCCAAAGAAAATAAAAAAGAAAATTTGCACACAGCAAAACGTCAGACGTAATCAAATGGGTGACAACAATAACCACTCTGGTACGGTGAGAACGGACTGGCAAGCAAAAGGACTGACGATCCACGGCTGGAACGTCAACGGCTTGGGCAACATTCTCACCGAACACGACAAACTACGAGACATCAGACTCGGCCTGACAGACAAAAGAAAGCCCAAACCCGACGTCATTCTCCTACAAGAGACCCACCTATCCAACCTCACTAACCACACAAGAATAAAGAGGACCGTGGAGNACAGTGGCTAATTAGAGACCCCAACGCCCCCCCCCAACTGAACTCCACACCACAACCGCCACCCCAAAGAAAATAAAAAAGAAAATTTGCACACAGCAACCCGTCAGACGTAATCAAATGGGTGACAACAATAACCACTCTGGTACGGTGAGAACGGACTGGCAAGCAAAAGGACTGACGATCCACGGCTGGAACGTCAACGGCTTGGGCAACATTCTCACCGAACACGACAAACTACGAGACATCAGACTCGGCCTGACAGACAAAAGAAAGCCCAAACCCGACGTCATTCTCCTACAAGAGACCCACCTATCCAACCTCACTAACCACACAAGAATAAAGAGGACCGTGGAGAAAAGCCTAGGGGGGTGCCCTTTCACACTGTGGTCCAACAAAGCGGACCAAAGCAACCGCGGCACAGCAATCCTTATACCAACTA